TGTGTGTGTGTGTGTGTGTGTGTGTGTGTGTGTGTGTGTGTGTGTGTGTGTATTTATTTCTTTCAGAAGGTTAATGAGATATTTTGCTAACAGAGAGTCTCATAATGGCACATTTTAAACAGATCTTGTGCAATCTAATCACGCTCAGAGTACATGCTGGGGATCAGTTTCAGCTCTTATCACACCATATTTTAGCTCACTATCTGTAAAATTACTGCTGATTTCATTTTGTTCGGCTGGCGGCCATCTTTGACTCAGCTGTAGACAATCTGCAGCATTTAGACGTGATATCAGGGTTGAAAGTTCTCTATAATAATAATAATAATAATAATAAACGTTTTAATTACTTATTAATCTGCAGCAAAGAAATGGTTGAGACGCAGCTTTTTGTTTGTATATAAAGGAATGAAAGCTGCAATAAAAAAGATTTAGAGACGTTTCATTGTTTCTGAAATCAATGTGAAACCTGTGCTTCACACATAAAAGCTGCACACTGAACAGGATCATTTGTTTGTTTTATGTTTCTCTAAATGAAACGCATCATAAAGAAGAAACACGTCAGGCTTAACACGTCGATAATTTTGCTTCCTACTAATCAAATTTCTCTCGCCTTCGAACAGACTGAGCACACAGGCTGAGTGAAATCTGTTTGTCTCTTTATGAATCATCTCTGAGCTGCGTTTGCTTCTGAAGGCTGCAGGAATCTGATCAACTTTTGTTCGTCTGAGAGCAGAAAACACCAGGAAGGACTTCACATTTTCATTGCAGCCACAAAAAAAAGATAAATAAATAAAAAAAAACTGTTCAAAGTCCCGGGAGACTCCTGTAAAAACCTGGAGGAAGGTTTCAAACCCAGCTGACACGATGCTGTCAGGGTGTCCTTGTCTTTAAATAAACATTGGAGGACATCTGGTTGATCAAATTAAAAATGTGTCCTTCACATGACCACACCATCTGGACCTGTGAGATGTAAACTCAATGTTTCTGTCCTTCCTGCTCCTGCAGGTGCTGAGCTCCGGCTGCCTCTGATTCCCACCCGAGTCCTTCTTTGTTGAACTGTTGGGGGATCGACTGACAAGAGCTGATGTGTTTCTTGAGAAAGATGAAATTTGAGTTGTGCACAGTGTTCCCAGCATTACCTGTCTCCTCGTTACCTCTTGGAAATCCTCGACCTCTAATCCTCCAAGCCTGGAACAATTTACACCAAGCAGGACACAGTCCCCTGATGTGCTCTCATCTCGTCTCTGTTCAAACCTCTGGGTTCTGGTTGAAAATGATCAAGTGTAAAATTATTTAAACACAAGGTCCGATGATCAGATAAAAGGTGAAGGGAACATTTTTTAAAATTTGGGATCAATACAAACAAACTGAAGCATGCAAATATATATTTTTAAAACATCACTAACATATTTTCTTGATTTAGCTCACTTGCTGAGTGTAAATTCCTTGTTATTTAGCTCACAGTTCTGCTATTTTGCTATTTTTTACTAAATGTTCAATTTAAATTCTAAAACCTAAATTTAAAGATGTAAAAAATGTAAAAAATTACATCTTAAATGCAGTGTTGTATAAAGTACCTCAAAGTGATACTTGAGTAAAAGTACAAGTATCTTATCATAAAAATACTTTGGTAAAAGTTAGTCTTTTCTAAAAATATCAGTTGAGTAAAAGTCTTAAAGTATCTGATTTTTTTGTACTTTAGTATAAAAAGTAAATGTCTGACACAAAATCTACTTAAGTATTAAAAGTAAAAGTACTGAATAAAGTGAGCAGTTAGATTTTCCAAAATGACATTTATTGGGAGGTGAATTCTCCAAAAAGTATATTTTCTAACAGTATGCAGCTGTGATGGGTTGTGTACAAACTAATACAGTTTGGTAAATATTTATACTTCTCATCCAACCACAATTAAATTCACTCTATCCAGGAGACACAATTTATCAGGATAGTATTTTTTAAGTAATAACAACTCTGAATAAAATAGGAGTAACAACTTTCTACTTCTTACCTTTTTAAAAAAATGTAGTGAGTAGAAAGTACAGATAATTGTGTAAAACTGTAATGAGTAAAAGTAAAAAGTATGCTGAAAAATAAGACATAAGCAAACACTAATGCAGTTAACGTTGCTAACACTGCTAACGCTGCTAACGCTGCTCAAGATTGCATTTAAAATTGAAAGTATGAAATGAGTTTATTAATAAAGATTATGGAGGGAACCTGCAGTCCAGCAGGTTGAAGTGCAGCTCGGACACCGGCCACAGCTGCAGGTCTGACGTCCTGTGAAGAAGCGTTAGCGACGTTAGCAGCTGTCACTGCTTGATACTGTCAAATCGTTAGCACTAAAACATAGACTTCTGGGTTACTGATTGATGCATGCTGAAACCAATTATTTCCATATTTAATTATAAATGTGTGCTAAATTATATTTTGAAAACTGTTTTAATATTACATATATTCT